GCTTTCCTTGCACACTGCCTGTTTGAGCTACTGTTAACTGAGAGGTGGACACTGTTGTAAAGGTACTTTCCAGCCAGCAGCCTTCTCTCTTGTAGGGATAATATGCCCAACATAATGGTTAAGAGCTCTGATTCTAGCCGAAACCGGTTTGGCTCAGTGGATGGAGCGTCGGCCTGCGGACTGAGGGGTCCCGGGTTCGATTCCGGTCAAGGGCATGTACCTTGGTTGCGGGCATATCCCCAGTGGGAGATGTGCAGGAGGCAGCTGATCGATGTTTCTCTCTCATCGATGTTTCTAACTCTCTATCTCTCTCCCTTCCTCTCTGTGAAAAATCAATAAAATATATTTAAAAAAAAAAAAGAGCTCTGATTCTAAAGTCAGGCACATCTGAGTTCAAATCTTGGTTCTAGACATTATTAGCCTCTAAGACCTTGGGCAGTTTATAAAAACTCTTTGTGCCCCATTTTCCTGTAATGCCAGTAAACACCCACTTCAAGTCAGAATCTTGGGTGTCCTCTTAAACCTACTCATCTCTCACCTTATACCTTCCCACTGCTATTGTCTTAATCCAGCTCCTCGTCATTTCTCCTTACACCATAGCACAGCCTCCTCACTGTAATTTTGACCTTCCACTTTTGCTGCTCTCTGCTCCATCTTCCACTTTGCAAGGTGGCAGACACAAACCTTGGCATCCTCCTCCACTCCTTTCTTCTCTCACTTGCATCCAATTCATTAACAAGTCTTATACCAGTAGGCCCTTCCTTCAAATGTATCTAGACTCTCACTGTTTCCATATCAGCCTGATTCAGTATTATCTCTTGTGGTGATTACTGCAATAGCCAGACAGCTGGACTCTATGATTCCGACCTGGCCTTCCTACAGTTGATTCTTAACACAGCAGCCAGAAAAATTGTTTAAAAAATATAAATCAGGTGACTCAAAACTTTTGATGGCTCAATATTTCACTGAGAGAAAAATCCTAAATCCTTCCAAAAGCCCAGGTAAGGGGACTGTTTCAAGCCTCCTGCTTCAGAGGATCCCACTGTGGCCATGCCTCTCCCTGCAGTGTGAGGTGTCTGCAGGGCTGAGAGGGGTGATCTTGAGCCTCTCCTCATCACAATCTGGGCCCTTGAGATGCTGGAATTTCATGCCCAATGGCTCTAAGTCCATGTCTAGGTCTGTGCGGTGTCTTCCCCAGATCCATCCCTCCAAAGATGAACCTTTCTGCCAGTGTGCATATCCCCATTAACCAGGCACTTCTTTGCTTTTTCTGCTTGAAACTCCCTTCTGTAAAACTGCCAGAGCACCAGCCCCCTGGCATTCCCAATTCTCCTTATCGGTCTCTCTTTTCCAAAGCATTCATTACATCATATTATACCATATAATATACTTGTTTATTATATTATAGCCTACCATCTTTCATAACAATATGATTGTTTAAATCAAGGATCTTTGTCTGTTTTGCTTACTGCTATGACTTCAACCCCTAGAACATTGTCTAGCAGTAAGTAAACACTCTGTCAATATTTGTTGAATACATTACCCCTTTACCTAGCAGACAGAGCAATCTCCTGAATCCTGACCGGTGGACCCTGACCATGTCACTCCTGCTTAAAAGACTTCAATAGCTCCCATTATTTACAAGGTGCCGTTCTCCGTAGTGTGGCCTGCAAAACCTTACCTGACCTGGCCCCTCCTGCCTGAGCCACAGAAAAATGCATGCACTTTCCATGACCAGGACCTCACAGATGCTTTGAGAATTCTAATTTCTCATGTCTGATCTCATCTTATTTTTTTCTAATCTTATTTTTCCTCTATTTCAGTTTCTTCAGGTACTTAAAAATAGTATTGCAGCCCTAGACAGTTTAGCTCAGTGGATAAAGTGTTGGGCTGCCGACCAAAGGGTCCCAGGTTCGATTTCAGTCAAGGGCACATACCTGGTTTGCAGGCTACTCCTGAGCCCAGGGCCTTGGTTGGGGTGTGAGCAGGAGGCAACCAATCGATGTGTTTTCCTCACATCGATATTTCTCTCTGTCTTTCCCTTTCTCTAAAAATCAATGGGAAAATATCCTCGGGTGAGGATTAAAAAAGAAAAAATAGTATTGCATCTTAAGTATCTCCGTAAATAGCCTTACATTCTTATGCATTTAACACAATGAATAAGCTTCTCTTAAATGTCTTAAGCTGTTCCTTCTGTCTCTATTGTATCTACTACTCAACTCTAGTGTTTACACTAGTGTAAGTCATTTCTGGTATGTTAAATGGGTGCACTTCTGTTTCCCTGCTAGAACAAGAACTCTTTGTACTTTATTAGGCCCTTAGAACTCTTTGCTAAACCTCTGGTAATTTAGTACTTTGTTACTAGTAACACAAAACAATGTGGGGATTTCTATAAAAATTGTTGCCTAAATTCTGGCAGAACCAGTGGCCAGAAATGTTCTGCCAGCTGCATTCTCATCTAGGGAGGATCGACCTGGAGAAGAACCTTGATAAGACAATTGACATGACTACTGACAGAACTATTGATAAGGGGTCAGCCACATAGGAAAGAAAGAGAAAAGTTGACTATAGTTTTGAGGTCAAACTATCAAGACAATATGGATACCACTGAGAGAAGAAAAAAAGGAGATATAAGATCAAGAAAGAGGTGATTCTGCCCTGCCAGCGTGGCTCAATAGTTAAGCATCAACCTATGAACCAGGAGGTCATAGTTTCATTCCCAGTCAGGGCACATGCCCGGGTTGTGGGCTCAATCCTCAGTGTGGAGTGTGCAAGCGGCAGCCTATCAATGATTCTCTCTCATCGTTGATGTTTCTCTCCCTCTCTCTCTTTCTCTCTGTCTCCCTTCCTCTCTGAAATCAATAAAAATATACTTAAAAAATAAAAATAAAAAAGGAAAGCTGATTTTTAGAGAAATGGTAAGTTGGGTTTGAGTCATGAAGTAATGCAAGGCATTCAAGAAAAATGTAAGTGTAGAGTTTTTGACATAATTGAGGGCTAGAGATAAACATAAAGAAGTTATTTCAAATATGCAGATGTTAGTTGACATTGGGGAATGAATCAACTCTCTGTCGGGGATAATATAGAAGGTAGGACTAGAAACAAAAGGTGTGAACTCTGAGGAATGCCCCCAAATTTGGAGAACAGGAGTAGGAGACCAGAGAAGGCAGAGAAGAAATAGTCCTAAGAATGAGAAGCTCCTCCATCCCAGTGTTTCAGACCCAAGGGAGGAAAATCCAAAGAAGATAATAGAGAAATCTGGAGAATAAGAACTGGGAATCAGCCCTTAGGTGTGGTAGAGACAGCTGGAAAGCATTGAGGTAGTTGGGGCTGGATAATCTTTCAGAGTCCTTTATCCTGCAATACAGTGAATTTTTTTGAAGATTAGGGGAACACATATAACCCAAATAAACCCTGCTGCCCTGGCCATGTGGCTCGTTTGGTTGAGTGACATCCCAGACACCAAAAGGTCACAGGTTCGATTCCCGGTTAGGGCATATACCCAGGTTGTGGGTTCCATCCCTGGTCAGGGTGTGTGCAGGAAGCAACCGATCAATGTTTCTCTCTCTCTCCCTCTTCCTTCCTTTCTCTCCAAAATAGATAAATAAATAAATAAATAAGTCCTGCTGCAGTGGGGTGTGACAATAGGAGGTCAGGCTGTAGTTGCCTCATTACATGGTAACCCAGGTATTAAGCAATTAAGGCATTTGGTGTATTTGGACATTGCCATGTGGAATAAAAATGACACAACAATCTATGGATCTCTTCCAATGCATTGTAAAGCAAGTCAACTCTGAAACATGACCCATCTCTGAAGATGTTAGCATCATCTCCTTCTCAAATCAACCTCAAACTGCCGCCTGTATATTATATAAATAACCCACATCTGGTGATTCATCTGACATTTCATCAAATCAATTCATTAAACAACTCAACAAGCACTCAATGATCACCTATTGTGCTAGGCACTTGGGATTCAGAGAACCTAAAGCTCTAATTTAATGGAAAGGCTCACAAACAGCAGGAAGAAGACACCTTGAAGCAGTAGACAAGGAAGATTCTGCTGACAGTAAGAGGTTAGGTAATGAAGATGAATAAACCAGTTTTGAGTGGCGACAGTGATATGGTTCATCCATTCATAGAATCTTAGGATCTTAGAAACTTGGGAGGGAGCATTTGACTCCTGATGCAACCATGTGATTACTGCTCACACTTAATATTCTTACTGTGCACTTTGTCAAATATATTGTCCATTATTCCCTTCCACCAGACCAGAGAATTTCAGGGTCAGAAGAGCTTATTAATAAGCAATTTCACTGAAACTTGACCTCCTCACTTCAATGCTCTCTTACATGAATCCACTGTCATTTCTACTACTAGGTGTACCCAGGTGGGGGGCAATAAATACTTTGTTTTCTTCCATTTTACTAATCTTTCATCATTTCACGTAGAAAAATAAGCCTTTTAAGTAGATCCCAGATCACATTTATGTTAAATAATGGTTGTCTGTAGTATAAGTTAATGTAATTACCTTTTTACTTTTGTTTTTAAACAGCTTCCTTTTAGAGCATAGCTTCTAAACACAGGCTAGCCAGGAATGTTCTCTCCCTGCCAAAGGGATAACTCAAAACACATTAGACACAGGAAAACAAAATTTTAAGTTCCATTAACCCTTCAAAACTTCTAAGCTGAGATAATCTCAAGAATAGTTCAATATTTTTCAGTGCACGTTTATTTTGTACATAAAAATATCTCACCTCATAAAACTGCCCAACAACAATAATAAGCATAAGGACAAGCAAGAGAAATCCTACTATTGGGGGAGCAGGTGGAAATTAGCTTGTTTGTGTCCCTGAGCACAATGTCTGAGGCAGAATTTCTCCTGCCTCCGATGCTGTGGAGAGAAAGGCTGCCCACACTTACCCCACTGCGACAGCCTCATCATGTTCCACACCACCAACTCAAAGAACCAGAAAAATCTCACCCCCCTGGATACTCACATCAGGACTTGGCACTTGCTCCTCAGGCAAAGAAACAAACAAAAAAACAATAGAAGTTGCTCTTTGCATCAGATTCCTTCATAGAAGCCAGCAAAACAAACAGCCAAAAGAAAAGAAAACAAAAACCCCAGGTTGCTGCCTAGACCACTGCAACAACCAGTAGACCCAAGCCAGGACTACTTCTAGCTGGTCCAGGGGCACAGGAAGATGGACAGTGAAAAGCCATCAGATAATGGAAGTATATTCCATTGAGAAAAGATGTCATTGCCCTTCAGTTGTGATTCAAATCACTTCTTAGGAAGGACTGAAGCCCAGCCTACTGAGTTTTGGTTTTGCTTTCAGGATCACTTCTTCCTTGTAAGCAAATAACTAACTGGTATTTGGGAAAACTGGTTGCAAACTTACTAGACAAGAAGGGCGAGGAAAGAATGCTAGCATGTTCTAGCTGTGTGCCAGAAATTTTACACAAGTATCTTTAATAGTTTTCTGTGGCTGCATAACAAAAGACCATAAATTGGGTGGCTTAAAACAACAAACACTGCTCTCACAGCTCCCTCATTGTTCTCTCACAGATCTGGAAGCTAGAAATCTACAATCAAAGTATCACAGGGCCACGCTCCCTCTGAAGGCTCCAGGAAGGAATGAGTCCTTGCCTTTTCCTGGCTCCCGATAGCTTTCTGTAAGCCTTGGCATCCCTTGGTTTGTGGCTGCTTCACTCCAATCTCTTCCTCCATCTTCACATGACCTTCCCTGTGTGTGTCTCTGAGTGTCCTCTCCTCTGCTTATAATTTATCTCACCTCATAAAACTGCCCAACAACAATAATAAGCATAAGGACAAGCAAGAGAAATCCTACTATTGGGGGAGCAGGTGGAAATTAGCTTGTTTGTGTCCCTGAGCACAATGTCTGAGGCAGAATTTCTCCTGCCTCCGATGCTGTGGAGAGAAAGGCTGCCCACACTTACCCCACTGCGACAGCCTCATCATGTTCCACACCGCCAAGCCTTATAAGGACACTAACCACTAGATTAGTGCCCACCCTAATCCGGTATGACCTCATCTTCACTAATTACATCTGTAGATACCCTACTTCTAAATAAGGTCACATTTTGAGGCTCCAGGTGAACATGAATTTGGAGGGAACATTATTCAACCCACTACAGCACTTCATTTCATTCTTGGAGGAACTCGTGGCCTAGATTCTGTTAGACCCATATTACATATGCCTTTCCTCAGTTGCACAGACAGTCCCAGTCTTGGTATTTAGGCAGCCACTCCCAACTGTAGCTACCACAATTGTTTCTTGCTTGAGGGATGGAGTCAAAAGAACAAGAAGGAGGAAAGGAGAACACTGCATTTTCAGAAGAAAAACAATAGCCTTGCCAGTGCGGCTCAGTGGTTGAGCGTCAACCTATGAACCAGGAGGTCACAGTTTGATTCCCTATCAGGGCACATGGCTGGGTTGCAGGCTTGATCCTCAGTAAGGGGCATGTAGGAAGCAGTTGATCAACAATTCTCTCTCATCATTGATGCTTCTATCTCTCTCTCCTTCTCCCTTCCTCTCTGAACTCAATAAAAAATATATTTTTAAAAAATCTGAAATCAATAAAAAACTTGTTTTTTTAAAAAAATCTCTAAAAATATTCAATAGAAATTAAAACAATTAGACAGCGGTGACTTAGAGGCAAGGCGTGGAGAGAAGACAAGAACACATTAGAGAAATGTGGCTAAGAAAACACACCCTGTCTGAGCATCAGAGTTCCATCTCTGCTGACCCCCCTCCTATGAGCCCAAGGGAACCGTAGTGTTACCTGAGATGTTGCTGGCCAAATGGCACCAGATATTACCAGTGAAGTTACACCTTGGTTCTTGAGTTCAGCAACAACAACAAAAAAAGAATTCAGAGCCAAGAACTCAAATTACAAGAGAAAGTTTGCTTAGAAAGTCACAGAAGTAGAAGAACTGAGCCAGCTGGGCTGTGTAGGCACAGAAAACAAGTTAAAGAGGCAGAAGGGCCCTTGGAAAAGCAAAGATAATGTGTCTTGGGGGAGGGGAGTGATAGGGAAAGGTGTGGGCATGCTCTCAGAGGGAGAGCACACCCTGGGTCCTTCATCTTGATGGTTTTAAAGGCTGGGAGTTTAGGGGAGGTCTAAGGGGAGAGTCTCAAGAGAATAGCCAGCAGTTTTATGCTGATGTGCCAAAATGAGATTTAATCCCCTGACTTCACACATCCTTGGGTGTGGTTGGCACAAATGGCACTAATTGAATTTTTGTAACCTATCTCACTGAATAGGATAATTTAAGCTATTTACCGTCGGTTGCAGAGGAGAAGTGTAAACGATTTACTTTTAAGTGTCCTTGGTTAGGGAAGATAGGGTTTTACTATTTACTAGATGACTGTAAACTGCTTGGGCATTTAACTATCTACCTTAGTTTCCCTATTCCATCTGTCCTGGCTTACTACTAGCCTGTCTCAGTAGGAATGAAATTGGTCATCTAGGTCTATATTCAAGTTGGCCTTTTCTTGCCAGCTGGTTTTAGTCTCACCACTGAAAAGCCCCACAGTGTAGTGGGACCACAGAGGCCTGAGGAATAGGCATATGTCCCCTGCATGGCTCTGAGAGTTTAGTGTCTACATGGGATCCACACACCACTCATCAGAGTGCCTGTCCCTCTTTAGGAGGGCGACATACTTGTCACTGTTTCTCTTCTCTGTCTTGTCCAAGTTTCCTCCCACTCTGCCCCACTCCCTTTCTTCTTGCTGTAGGCAGTTAGACAGCCAGGTACAGAAGGTCACCAGGGCGGAAAGCCCCAGGTACCTCGCAATGGACAATCCCATATAATAAAAGCCTAATATGTTAAGTGTCCAGTCGTCTGGTCAGCCGTTCAACCAATCAAAGCATAATATGCTAATGATATGCTAAGACTGCTCAACCGCTCGTTATAATGTGCACTGACCACCAGGGGGGCAGACAGTCAACCAGTCACTATGACATACACTGAATACCAAGGGGCAGACATTCCGACCGGTAGGTTAGCTTGCTGCTGGGATCCGGCCAATCGGGACTGAGCAAGAAGGGCCAGACATGCCCTGGAGCCCTCCTGTGGTCCCTCCCCGGCTGGCCAACCTCCCACATCCCTCCCCAGCCCTGATCGTGCACCAGTGAGGTCCCTCGGCCTGGCCTGTTCCCTCTTGCAATCTGGGACCCCTTGGAAGATGTTGGAGGGCCGGTTTTGGACTGATCCTGCAGGCCAGGCCGAGGGACCCCACTGGTGCACGAATTCGTGTATCGGGCCTCTAGTCAATTATAGGGTGGGACCTCACTCCCAGGGTGACTTTTCCTCCCCTAGCATATAGCTGGTCATGAGGTTTGGACCCCCGGATCTTTCCTCCCTAGAGACATCTATGTTTCCATTGTGTTTTAGCTCTAGGCCCAGAAAAGCAACAATACCAGCCAAGGCTGACCTCAGTTCCAGCAGCATTGAATAATGATCCCCTGCCCTGGTGCTGGCCAATCAATCAGTGGAGACTACAACTCTGAAAGGAAACAGCTGGAAAACTGCTGAATATTCTACTGAGATCTTCCCCTGGGATCTCCCCTAAAATCTCCACCCTTAAAACCTTTAGGACGGAGGACCCTGGGAGCACGCCCAAGCCTTTTTCTCCCTTCCCCCCTTCCTACCCTCACTCCCAAGCTCCAAGGGCCCTTCCATTACCTCCATAACTTGTTTCCTAAGCCCATTTCTTCTAGGAATTACTTCTTCTACCTCTGTGATTTACCAAATAAATGTTCTCTTACAGTTTGAATCTTGACTCTGAATTCTTTCCTAGCCAGAACCCAGGTTGCTGAACCCAGGTTTGGTCTGACCCCACCCGTCAGACACCTGGTGCTGTAGGTTCCCAGGCTCTTTCTTCACTCCGTAGGTTTTGGAAAACAGACTTACCTCAGAGCAGGGGTGTTTTCACAATAAGGCCCTTGGTGTTTTCACAATAAGGGCCCACAGACAACTCAAACTAATATCTCAGCATGTTTCCCTGCCTCATAAATCTATATGCCTTAAAAAGATACTGGAGGGGGCGATATCAACATTTTAACAGAGGCCTCTACGTAGAGGACTTGTAGGTGATTTTTTCAGTTTCTTCTTTTTGTTTATATTTTATTTTTTAAATAACTTGCCATGAACACAATGCACGTTTGTAAAGACATAGAAATAATTTTTAAAAATCAGTAATGGAAAGTTAAATTGCTCAACAGCAACAAGAAAACATTTCAAGAACTTTGCAAAGGGCGTATTTTTGTTTCTAATTTATTTAATTTAGCTTTGTTCCCTTTATATTATTTTTTTTTTTGTAATGGAAGATCCCTGAGAGGCATAGCTAAATTGTGTGTGTGCTCCTAAAAACAAGACAACAGGCTCAAAATGGAGAGAGTTACACTATGACCCCAATCACCAAACCAAGACTTAATTATAGTTTTGGCTTTCCCCAAATGGAGTCTTAAACCAGTCCATTAAGAATTGTCTAATCAGGGGCAGGTTGGGAGCTGGCGGTGGTGGTGGTGGCGGTGGCAGTGGCAGTGGCAGTGGCGTGGTGGTTGGTGGCTGACCTATTGCACTGTTCGTTTTCGCTGGAGTGTCTAGATGTCGGTTTTGCTGCTGCTCCTGTTCCGCCTGCTGAGCCTCCCCGCCTCCCCAACCCTTAGCTCTGGATGCTCCTGCCAGCGGGGTCAGTCTACCACCTTCTGTCCTTTCTGAGAAATGCCACTGATGGCTCCTTTTCTCCTGTACCTGGCACTACAATAGTTACACACTTTGTGTCATTGAATCCCCCCTGCAGCTGAGACAGTAACAAAGAAGTTAAGGAACTTGCTTAAAGTCACAGTTTCAAAATGCACTAGAGTTTGAAGTTGATTGCAGGCTGCCCACTTCGCTTCTACCTTGCTCATCACCAAACTGAATGCCTAGCCAAATGCCATATGCTTTACCAAAGTTTCCACTATTTCTTAAAACCCTGGGAGGGCGGTATTATTTCTACAGCTGAGAATCCCAAGTGACTTGCACAAGAACATCAGCTCCACCTTGTCTGATGGCAAACCCTGGAAATTTACAGTATCACATGTGGCCTCTGTGTTTCTCTACACCCTCGTCCCCCCTCCCCTTTTAAACAGTTTTATTGATGTGAACCCTGAGAAGAAATATATTTGCCAAAGAGCGTGGTTAACTGGGCCCAAATTCATAACCAGTCTATGGTTATTGCTAACTGAGGCCTCTCATGTTCTCTGAATTTCGGGAAAAGTCACAAGCTGAGCTGTCAGCCTGCCACTGTGCTGTTCCACCCGACTCAACCCTTACCAGGGACTTCCTGGCTTCATCTTTCCACCAATGGACTGAGACTTGCCCTATACTATCAAAAC